AGTTCCTCATACCTAGATGAATCATCTAATGAGTCATCAAGAAGGAATAAACACTTTAAAACTTTGATCATGAATGTGAGCTTAAACAAAACCTTCAGTTAAATTTGGCAATGTTATACTCCTTCCCTCTTCAGTTATCCTTAATATCCCACCTGGGCTTATTAGCTCTCAGCTGCTTACCAAACAGTTTGAAGTGGGTGAGTGAAATGTGCTGGAGATTTCCAGAACTGTGGTGAGCGTTTAAAAACAAAAAATAGACTGCAAAGTCAAAACTTAGTTGTTTCTAATAGAAAACTAAGCCACTAGAAAAGAGACAGCATCCTTCAGGGAACAGGGTTACAATCTGGTTATCAGAAAAGAATAGAAACAGTTACTGCTTTTTTTAAAATACAGACTTCTGAACAAACTATTTTAAAATAACCTAAGATCAGAAATTATTTTAGAGATTATTTTTTAAAATTATGAATTCTTTGATAAATTATAGTTAAATTCAATTTAATTAAAAATAATTGCTATTTGCTGAATTAAATTTTTGTTGTTCTTGTTAGAAATTGACCAAAATTGCGCACCTTTGACCTGTGAACTGCTGTCTCCCCACAGATGCTGTGTGTGCTCTTCCTCTCTTTCTCTCCAGTTCTAGCTTTGTTTGATTGGAATTGTCCCATAGTTTTCACTGAATATGATGTATTTAATGCCTGGGTTAATTGTTCCTATATTAAATATACCAGGTAACATACTTTTGCAGACAGCATACAGCATTAATTTGCATTCTATGTCAAACAATAAAGAAAAGGAAAACAGGCCAGCTGTAAAAAGACTGCATCTAATGATAGAAAAATCATCTGTTGTTTTAACAGGCTGAGGAGGCAGGTATTTGCTGGAGAGGGAGGCAGGTAGAGGGAGTAATGTGGCAAGTGTGGTCTTCATGTAAGAACAGGTTTTTGTTTGTTTTTTTTCTGCTCTTCCCAGTCATACCAGGGCCATGTGTATCCCTGAGCATATTCCTCATTGGTTTGGGTAATGTTCACCACAGTGTGCATGTGTGAAAATTCCTATCTTGTTTTACTAAGGAAGCTATGGCTGCATCTTCAGTGGCATTTAAATTTGGAGAATGAATGTGCCTTTGAAACAAAGCTCCTGACCATGCTTGCTGTGCTCGATTTCACACTGCAGTGTTTTTTCAGTGCATGAACCAGATCCCTTTCAGTGAAAGAAAAGTAGCATTGGTTTCAGGCATGTACTTACTGGGTTGCAACCAGAAGTGGGTGTCCAGTGCAGGGGATCAGGTTAGAGTTAGCCTGAAATAAACATGGTGTGGAATCAGCTCCTTGGTGTCAACTGCTTTGCTCTATAGACCTGGTGCTCCTTTGGTGCCCCACTTGCTCCAGGAGATACAGCTCATGGTGTTTGGTCAGCTTGCAGCAACAGACTTCACAAATAACAAAATGTGACCTGTCTTGTGACCATTTTTGTTCAGAATGGTTGTGAAAATGTTTAAACACCTAAGGAAAAATATAATCAGGTGTTAGTGTGCTGTGGAAAAAAGAGTGTTCAGGCCTCAGTAAAGAAGTAACTATGAAGAGCAAACTGTAACCAGGGCTCTGCCTGTCCTGTGTTCCTCACTGGGATCTTCTCTGCCATTCCTTCAGGGCTCTGAGGGTAGTTGATCTTAAGGCAGCTTTTTGAAATTGCCTCTTGCTTCCCACGTTCATGTTTATTGTCAGTAGGAGACACAAGAGTCAGTAGTCCACACTTCTGAAGAAAGATGAGAAAGAAAAGTTTCTGCCCTTCTCTAGTATGGAAAGAGCTTTAAATGTTTATCTCAGAGACCACTGGCCAGGTTATTATCCTGTTCATGCTAAAGTGGCCTCTGAAGATACCTTTGAAGATACCTTGTCTATGATGAAATAATCTTCAGTCCCATTTGACTACACTTCAAGGAAAGAAAGGTGACAGACCTTCCTTTTGCAGTTTGGCAAGTTGGATTTCACAGTCCGTTCTCTTCAATTGCTAGATCTTAATTTGAAAGAGCTAGTGATTCACACCAGATGGTTACCTCACCTGAAAGGACCCAGTAGGATAGTCCTTTTGGATAGGGTCTTTTAGACTTACATAGCACTCAGCGTTCGCCATTATTGTTTATGGACAGAGATTTGCCTTTGCTGCTTTCCCATTATCGGGACTGGTCCAAGAGGTAAAGAGGAAAGGGACTTCTGCTCTGTATTGGTTTAGACTCTCTAGCTGTTTATTAGGTCTCTTGAACTCCTGTATCAAGCTAGTTAGAGGACTTTTTCCTTACCTACAGCTTTCCTAACATCCCCAAACTTTGTTGCTTAGTTTTAGTCTCTTATCTCAAATGGCATATTGATTTGCCATTTTACTTCACTTTATTCTCTTTGTTTTCATGATATATTTCCACAATTAGCTTGACTTGTTGCTGCCATATCCTAACTTACTGGTTTAGTCCTTGTAGGGTTTGTTGTTCTAAATGTTCCAGAGAGAGGACTTAGCTGGAAATGGTTCTGGTGTGTGTATATTAAGATATCTGCCTTGATATAACTCTGATTTTTCCTGTCTCCATCTGCTGGTAAAAGATGAGATTTGCTGTTCAAACATATAATAAGGAACAGAAACTATAAATTTCAAATAATAAATATCCTTTTCACTGTTACAGACACTTTCCATTAGGAACTGGATAGAAAAGATCAATTTATTTATTTTTAGGCTGCTTAATAGTAGCTATCAAATGCTAATAGCTTTTGATCTGTTTTGGATTTGGATTTATACTGCACTGGCAGGAATGAGTTTGTTATTCAAATGGATGTACTGATAACCTGGGAATTCAAATCGGTGTGCCGATGAAACTAGATTTGCTCATTTCTATGGGAGTAAGAGACATTCTGAAATGGTCATGCCTCTTTTTGAATATTAATATTTTTACAGTTACTGAGCAGGCAGATAATGGAAGTAATATATAACTGGATTTTCAATCTGATCATTGATTTTGACTTATTTCTGCAGACAGGTATATAAGGCTCAAGTTACACATAAATTTTCATTGGTTCCTCCTAACAGTCACAATACAAAATTTTCCTGTGTTGAATCCAAAGGAAGTAAAACACCTACATACAATCATGTTAGGAGCTCATGAAGTATCAGCTAACAAAGTGGGGGTTTATGTGCAAAATGTTTTGTTCATTCAGAGCACAATGTTTAAGTCAGCTTCCCATCCAGGGGAAATGCCTCTCCAAGACTGCAGTAGGTGACACTAGTCAGCAGAGGTGTGGCGACACAAAGGTGCTTTAACTCTGCTGTCGTCTGAACTGACTGTACAAGGAAAATGTTATGCTCCATATTTTCGCATTAGAAGTAATCTTACATTTGTGTGTGATTTATGTTATGTAATGAAATATTTAGGTTGATTGTTATTTCCATCTACTCCTAATGTTTTGTGGCTTTGATGCTTTTACAACAGAGGTTTTTATATATATTACGTTTTCCATAAAACCACCAACCAAGCCTTTACTTTTATTTTATATTTCAGTCTATCATGTGTTTATAGGAGTATTCTTCAAACACTCTAAAGATGCTGATAGTTATATTCATTCACGAAGCAAGAGGCTGTTTTATGAGACCTATTTCCCCCAAGAAATTTCAACATGAGATGGTGCAGGTATCCTCAAGCAAGGAATTGCAAGCACTTTTGTTTCAGTGGCTTTAATTTTAAAGGCTTGTATTAAATTTTTTTCTTCTTTGCAAAGTAACTATAAAAATGACAGCCTTTCATTTAATAGATGCTTTCACTGTCTTGACTAAGAGTTTTATCTGTTCACTTCACTGGCAATCTTGTTTCCCTCCTTTATTCCCACCAACCCTGTATATTCCACCTTGGCGCAAGACACTCTCTCCTCAAGCATCCTTGTTCAAAGGGATTCTTAGCCCTTTCTGAGAGGTGCAGAACTCTCGGTAGGAATCACTTGTGTCCAGAAATTTATTCTTTTGTGTAGATATCTAAAAACTAACAATCAACTTTAATCTCAGAGTGCAAATGGAGTTTGTAGGGCTGATAATGAAAATAAACATTGATTTATTTGTATTCTAAGAACATAGGAAGATCTTCTGAATAAGCATAAAACCAAGAGTACACAGGACACCCTGCAATGCAAAGGATAAAATTAAGTAACTGCTCACTGGTGGAGATTGAAAACATTCCAGCAGCTGTAAGGATGAATTGTGTTTTGGCAGTGCCTGTCTTTCTCCGGGCCAGAGAGGATCAGCAACAACTGGTTTACGGTGGGGGCATGTCTCAGTGATGGCTGAAATGAGCAGCATGAAGCTTGATCTAGGAGATTTAAGAGTCCAGGTCCAACTTTTGAAGTGAAACATTCAGTGAGGCTTCCATTCCGAAGTCATTTTTGAACATGAGGCTTGGACTCTTGCCATGATGAATAAAAGTCCTAAAAATACCTCAGTGATTTATAAATATCCTCCTTGCTATTCCAGAGTTGTTAGTGCCCAAGTCACTTTGAAAGTAGCATTTAAGCTTCTCAGTCCTAGAGTTATCGAGAAGGAACTCGGTTAATATCTAGTCTGTTCAAGACAGGATTTACTGAAACTATTCCTGACAGATATTTGCCTAACCTGGTCTAAAAATCCCCCTGTGACATACATCCCACAGCCTCCCCAGGCAAACTGTTAATGTACTTGACTATCCACATGAATACTAAGTTTTTCCTAATGTCTAATGTAAATCTCCCGTGATGTGGTTTAAGCCTATAACTTGTCCTGTCCCTTGTGGACATTTCATAGCCTTTCAGACATCTGAATAGCATTATCATGTATTCCCTCATTCGTCTCTTTTTAGCCTTAGTTGAGGCTAAAATAAAGTCCCCTTAGGCACTGTGAAAATTTTTACCCAAAGCCAGCTTATAAAGTAGAGCTGCTTTGTTAATGCCTTTATCAAATAGCAATTTCAGGATAAAAGTGTAGTGTAGTGGCATATGGCAGAAATGCTTGATACAACTGTGTCCACTTCAAAGCCTTTATGGTTTAAATGGAGATTTGAGGTTGCATCATTTGCCCAGCTTTTACTTATTGGGATGTCAGTACTGGGATATCAAAAGTCTCAGTACGTAGCTACCTTATTCACATTACTCAGCTGGTGTGTTGCTTCTGCAGCTAAGGCTTACATCTCTGCACAGCACTGCATGTTGCCAGATGGGCTGAACAGCTTACTCACAGCAACTCAGCACCTTCTGCAGCACTGCAGGCTTTCTGAAACAAGGTCTATCTTATTGCCTTATGCAGCAGCAAGCAGAACAAAGCTTGTCCTAGTCATGTCTAGGCACCACCAAATAAGGGTATGACGAAGTTAGAAGTATAGATGTTAAATAATAGTACTGTCTTCCCCAAAACCAATTTGCAGTTTGTGTACACCACAATGTGTACACATTTTTTTCCCCTACCCTTTTTGACTGACAAGATTTGGAAAGTTTATATTCATTTTCTGGCACTTCAATTAGGAGGCATGACAGAGACTTTGTACAGATTTTTCTGCCTTGTATTTTTAGAAGTAGTAGCAATGCTTACTCTTTTGTTGAGCTGGATGGAGAAATGCAGCTTCAAGAGCACACCCGCATCATGCATACCTGCCTTTGGGTATTGGTGTTTGGGGAGGGAGGTAGAAGGACCATGAAAAAAGAGTGCTCCTCACTATGGCCACCAAAAGCAGCAAAATGAGTTCTATTTTTGAGTTTCTTCTCTGAATGTATTCCTAATGTTTGCATGTGTCGGCTCTGCTGAGGTGACATCTCAGGTTTTAAATTAATATTGTTGTAATGTATTTCTCTTTAATTAAAAAAGAGAGCTCCCCCATGGGAAATTTCCTAAAACAAAACTCATTAGTAATAAATGGATTAAATCTTTATCAGTTAATCAACACTATAAACTTCTGAGTGTTTGGAGAGCAATGTGAGATAACACTGTCGTCACAATAGGGGTGTTTGAAATCATTAGGGATCCCACTGCGCCGTTTGGGTGCTGAGAAAATAATGGTTGAAGATGGGCCCCCTTACAGAGCTCACAAGTGAATTACTCCAAGGATTAAAGCTGCAAAGGTCTGGATTTTATGTTGGACCCACCTTTAAGGCAATTTATTTTTAATAGTAGGAGTAGTGGTGGGCCATGCCAAACAAATTCTTAGTGATGCCAATACCAGAACCTGTCACAATGCTACAGAATTTTTTGAGCTGGTGTTTTAGTGAAATTTTAGAGACTGTTCATGGGATGAAAGCTTTGCCATCTTCTCAGAGCAACTGTTCCCAGCTGATCTCTCTGAGGCTTTGAGCCTGTGGTGGAGATCGCACTGCAAATTCCTCATCTTCCTCCACCCTGAATCCTCCACACTGTCACTTCTGTCAGGACTGTGGCAATCCTCTCATCACACATGTGCAGGAGTTCTGCTCTGGTCCAACTGTCTCCTGGGGATAAAGAGCACAATGTGCTGTGCAGATGGAAGGGACCATGTAGCTTTGGGCAGTGGACCTCTCTGAAGAGATTGGGCATACTGGAGCAGGACAAGGTAAAACTTGTCTGGCTGGTAGCATACCAACACCTACTAACCTGATACCATTTGGAGTCCTGCACATTTAAGAAGTTGTGCTACAAAGGCACTGACGTTTTCTCCATCACTGCTGGGAATGTGTCACTCCGGGGGTTCTTTGGAGTCATTTGGATTATTTAGGTTCTTTCTGTGAACTCTATGAAAAATAAAAGTAAGTGGGCTGGAATAAAAATAGGGGCAGTGAGAAAAATTAGTTGTGTTTGTCCACATCCAGCAAACTTACTGGAATGCGTTAGCAAGAAGTTAGGGGCAGAGGGACAACAACTGGGGGTCATACATAATTACTGACTTTTAATTTCTTGTCTTTTGCCTTTATTTGGTCATTGAAGCAATAACTGCGTGTGTTTTGTCACAAAAGGATCAATGTAAATCAGTTTTGTCATGGCGTGAATTACGGCAGCAGTAATGGTATTATCAAATGTTTGGAGCGCCCTTATTGCTTAAAATGCATATTGAAGGTCAGGTGACACTGCTGCCTCCAGAGGTCTAAATTAAAATCCTGTGTTGGAGTACATGTGAATTGGCCATTCTTATTTCATTCTTTATCCACTTAGATTGTGCTACAGAACACAGCCTGCTTGATAGATGCCTGCTTGGGGGAAAAAAAAAAGTCCCAGTTCCTGCTCCTTCATTAGAATTGAATCCATAGACAGTTGTAAAGCAAACAAACAAAATCCCTCATTTGGATGGTCCTATTTAAAAGTCAAGAACCGAATTGCACTGATTAATTTCAGTGACACTGGGGACTGTTTCTGTTTAGAACTCTAGCTACCGTAGCACTATCACTTTTGAAAATCAGATGGTAGGTGTCCTCACTTTTCTGTCACGTGTTCCAACCAGACATCTGTGTGCAAAAATCATAAATTTTAAAAACATCCCTTTCTTTTCTTCATAATGTGATATGTCTTCACGTATATTTTCAAGCAGGTTTTGCAGGGGTAAATTGTTTGTAACAACTTCCTTTGTATTCATAATTACAGTCAGCTCTGTCACCTGTGAATTAAAACCTTTTATTAAATACCTTTATGAAATGCTAGATGCAGATTTACAGGGAGAGAAATGAGGCAATAAAAGAGCTGTTGCATTGTTATTAAGAGCCGCATAATGCATTTCTGTGCCACGTGTTTGGGACTGCTTCTGCCTTTGAATCTTGTTTGTGCATTTGGGGAAAGAAGCACAACACTTTCTGTTTTCTTTTTCAAACACTGGAGTGAAAGATCACTTTCTATCAAGAGGTCAAATGCTCTGGTTTGTCAAAATGGACTGCTTGCAAGGGTCCATATGATCCTTCTGACCATACAGCTTTCCTACGATACTGTTTCTATCATTCACAGGGTGGATGACCTTCAGATCTCAGTGGAAGGGTCTTTAACTCCCTGCTAAAAAAGGAGAACGCATCCCTTGATTATCATAATTTATGCATTCATCCTGTCCTCCTTACTTTTCTCTTTTCATTTCTTTTCAGGATGGAGTAGGTGTAGATGAGAAGCTGTCTTTGCGGCGGGTAGCCGTCGTAGAAGATTTCTTTGACATTATCTATTCCATGCATGTTGAAACTGGGCCTAATGGAGAACAAATCAGAAAACATGCTGGACAAAAGAGAACGTATAAAGCAGTAAGTAAAACAACTAAAACTGAACATCAGTTCTAAAAGCATGAATTATTTGGGCTTAGTCACATGGCATGTGATTTGTGTGTTTCCAGCTGGATTAGAACTGTAACCTTCACCCTCAAATTTATTTCAGAGATCTTTCAGTAATGCATGAAAACATACAATTTAGAAATCACATTTTATATGTAATAAGGGCTAGATCTATTGACTTCAGTAGAGATTTTATCATTGGTACAAGCCGAAAATTTATCCTTTCTATGCTAGTTTGACTATTTCTCTAATAACTATTAATAGTTATTAAATGGATGAAGTCCTAAAGAAGACTTAGGAGGTATTGCCACAACTTTGCTAAATGAGGTGCTGTACTTCAGCAGATGAATGAAGTTGCCTGATAGTTTATTGCTGCAGACTATTTATACTTAATGGTTTAATGGTATGAAAAGCTTGTAAACATCCTGAATTCAAGAGGCCAGAAAGCTACTAGGTACAGTGAGAGAAGTATTGTAAGGGCAGCTCTCACACCTGTATAAACTGGCAGAGTAGAGAGGCATGATTATTTCTAAGATTTTTAATTGCATGTTGTTGCTTGACCTAACCAGTTCTTCAGCCACTGCCTTAAAATAGCTATAAATAGCTTTGTGGTTAGTGGCATAAATAGAACACTTCCTTTTCTTACAGAAAACTAATGAAACATTTATTGCACTTTCCCAAGGTGCTTAAAATGTATGTGCTTGCCTAGATTTGGATGGCCAAACGTCCATGCACTGTGACAGTGCCAGGCGCGCTCAGTGGTTGGTCCTGATCCTCCTGCCCAGCTGTTTCCAGCTGCTGAAGCACCAGGAGCTCCCCCAGGGCAGCAGGGCAGGGGCTCCCAGCCAGACCTCATCTCACAGCCCTGTCGAGGGTGCAGGGCATCTGAGGCACCTCTCCCCACAGCCCCAGCGGGATGAGGGTCGTGTGGGGCTGTGCACAGGGCCCTGAGGTGACCTGTCATCCTCAATACAATGTTCTTCACCTTATAAACAACCTGCAGTCATGTCAGTGGTTTTTCCTTAGAGGTCACCAAAATGTGGGGGAAGTCCAGGTTTCTGATTCACACCTTCACTTTTAGCTGTAATAGCTATTTTTCCATTACTGTATTTTTCAGGTATATAACAATCTTCACTATGTATCTGTGAATCCCTTCACACATGTTTTATTTATAGGCTATTTCAGATGGTTTTTGTCGGATAAGCTCTTGGCAAAATTTCTTATAATTTGTTCCCAGTGGTATTGACCTTAAGATAGATATATGAAGACATCAGTCATCTGGGTGTGCTTCTGTAAGGCTTGGAGTGTTATTTCAGGGTGAACAAACACAAACTGTCTAAATTAATTTTCATCTGTCACCTCGGCCATTTGATGCTTGGTCTTCACTTTTAGAAAGCATTAGAAAAGTAATACTTTCATTGACCTTTTGCTTTCTATTTTGTTTTACCTCAGTAAGCTGTGTAAAGCTATAGGTCGCAAACATTGTAGAATAATATACAAGCATAAGGAATGCGGCCAACTATAAATACATTACTTCAAGTCATCATCTTATAAATATGTGCCAAGTGTAATATTTACTTCCTTAAGAATCCCATGATTCCAAGTCAGATAAAAAATTTTTCATCACAAACAGCATGAAAGACAACAAGTGTGTCTTCAAGGAGGAGAACTATTTGTGCAGATTCAATAGCCTACACAGTAGTTTCTTTTGATGTCAACTTTTATTGCAATTGAGATCTGAGCTTATTATATGAACAGAGGATAAGGATGTCCAAATGTAAGTTTGTGTCATTACCAGACTGTGCGATTTTTGTGCATTCATTTCATTGCATATTAGTTTACTAAGGACATTGAGTCATAGTTCCCAAGGACAGGATTCACATATATAATTTTTAAAGACTTCCATAGATTAAAAAGAGGAAAAAAGAGTCCAGAACAAGCTAGTATCAACTCTCGATCGCTATCCTGACATGAGAATTAGGTTAAGTAAACAGGCCTCAATCAGAGTAACTGGATAAATCCACAGTCCTTTACTGGACCTGCCCATGAAAATGCCATCGCTAAAAACTATGAGCTGGAGTGTCTATCTGTTCCAGCAAGCCATGCGATCTCTGTGGCATTGAAGGAGGAAAGAGGTGGTATCTTGGGTAACTGTCGCACAGAACATTAGACCCTAAAAGCTTTATAAATCAAACTGAAGTACTTTGGCGGGGTTTAATTTTGTTAAGTGGATTGGGAACAAGATTAATTCAGTCTTATTTCTTTATTCATATGTCAAAAGTGAATCATCCTTGAGATCTGTGAATGTATTTATCACGCATAAGTATTCACCAAATAGTTTGAGTGAAGAATTTTTACAGGAAGGGTGGTTTACAAACTGTATGCTACAACTGCTATTTGTTATTCATGATTCCTGACATGCTTCACATTGCTTCTGCTCTCTGACTCGATAACTGAAACATTTTAATGGAGAAATGATGGGGGAAAGCCACCACAGTTTTGGTACACAATTGCCAGACTTCTGAAATTTATAAATATTGTCATGGATTTTCAGTACCTGAGTATTTCTAAAAAAATTATGGCACAGCCCTAAGAATTGCAACATACTGATTTCAAGTAATTAATTTGCTTATATATGAGTGAGTCTCTATTTTCAATAGCGAACCTGCTCCATTCAGCATAAGAAGGACATTGAACTGTTGGAGCAGGTCCATAGGAGGGTCACAAGGATGATCAGGGGGCTGGAGCACCTCCCATACGAAGACAGGCTGAGAAAGTTGCTGTTCAGCCTGTAGAAGAGAAGGCTGCGTGGAGACCTCATAGCAGCCTTCCAGTACCTGAAGGGGACCTATAAGGATGCTGGGAAGGGACTCTTCGTTAGGGGACTGTAGTGGTAGGACAAGGGGTAATGGCTTTAAACTTAAACAGGGGAAGTTTAGATTAGATATAAAGAACAAGTTCTTTACAGTGAGGGTGGTGAGGCACTGGAATGGGTTGCCCAAGGAAGTTGTGAATGCTCCATCCCTGGCGGTGTTCAAGGTCAGGTTGGACAGAGCCTTGGGCGACCTTGTTTAGTACATGGTGTAGTGTGAGGTGTCCCTGCTCATGGCGGGGGGGTTGGAACTAGATGATCTTAAGGTCCTTTCCAACCCAAACCATCCTGTGATTCTATGATTCTATAATTCTAGGATTAGAAGGGTAATGAAATTGTCAAAGGTGACTTAATTAATTACAGTGCCTTTATATAGAGTAACAACTTGGAATAGGTAGAGTCTTTTTAATTTTTAATAGAGTTACCCCAGATGCTGCAATGCTAAAATACATCAGTATATTTCTCTGAAAGTGTGTTCAGAACAGTTTACAAACTCAGTTAGTAAATCTGTAATCTGCACTGACTTGTTTATGTTAACTATGTGGAAAGGAATGGCATTTTTACAACTGATTGATTTCTGTGGGACTTCCTACAGTGGTGCTGTACAGGAAGATAAATAGGATGTGGTGCTTGGTAGCTCTAAAAGAGCAGCTTATTGGAAGGGAGTCTTTATATTTTAATTGGGGCAGCAGTGTACCAAACTCAAACTTTATGATTTCTTGGCAGAAATCCTATAGGTTAATTAGGAAAGCATCTGTGCTTCAATATTTAAGTTTAGAATAAGGTCCCGTTTTCTTCTCTGCACACTAATAAATGAGAAGGGAGTTGTAGAAAGTCCGTGTGGATGATGTAGGAGAGTAACCTTGAAACTACGCAAAAAAGAGTGAGCTTCCCATTTAACTGGCATGTTTTGTGCTCATTTCTGCTGCCTGGGTTGTATACAGCATAAGACTGATGGACTGTGTTCCTTGCCAGCATAACTGTAGGTAGATCTACACCAGCAAAAAAGAAGTCCTGGTTTATATATATAAAATGAAACCAAGAACTTTAAATCATGTCTGGAGTACAACAGATTGAAGGCATACTTAATGTGATGTTTATAATCTCAGCTAGTTTCCCAGTTCCCAGGGAAGTTTACAAACAGGGAAAACACTGAGAACCTTGATCTAGGAGATGACTCCTTCACAAAGGCAGGGTATGTGATGCAAGACTTGGCCAAGTCAGTTGCTCAGCAGGGGCACAGGTGACTAGGAAGGTGTGGAAGTGAAAAGAATCTGTTCCTTGGTGCCAAGGACAGCAGTGGTGCCCAAACAGGTCCCTGCTTGTCCTGGATTCCCCTGAGGTCGTTTGCCCTGCTTCATAGAAGGTGTGGTGAAATGTGCTGATGCCAGAATTGGTTAAATGGTTGGGAGAAAGTACTGAGGATCTCTGTAGGGGTTACTCTGCTCTCACTCACTGCTACAGCTCAGTGTCCTAGAGCAATTGCATTGCTTGGGGAGAGTACTTTTCACTCTCTGTCCTCAAGGACTTATTTTTGTATAGGCATCCCACCCTGAAGGGAGAACTGTGGTGTCAAAGTGGAGACGGGGACACACAGGCGAGAAGTATTCAGGAAAAGAATCCATCTGTTGTAGGGGGAAAGGTGTGCAACAAGTGCATAGTGGGCTTCCTGTGCCTTTGTAGAGTTGCATGTTTTGATGTAAACTATTCATCTGTGAGTAAAATTTAAATTCGAGTGCTGAGGGGCATATCAGAGGTGGGAGTAAGTGGGAAAAGTTGTGGCTACAGTAGCAGCATAATGCAACAGGCTCAAGCTGTTAGGACAACTCTTTGTGATTCAGTGCAAAGCAGGAAAAAAAATAGCCTTGTTACATTTTTCCAGAAACTAAAATGGTCTGTGGTGAGACTGAAGATGGAAACCATCTCTGCCTCCTCTCAGGCTTAGCTATGGGCACAGTTAGGCCTGACTTAGTGATTAAGCCCTATATTACAGAGTAGATTTTATTTTCTTTATTTTCTTTAATATTTTTTGAAAAGATGTTAGATTTTCATTCATTTAAACAACAGAGTAGGTGCCTCACCTTTGTATGTTATATCTGGA